CCGAGATCACACCACTGCACTTCAGCCTGGGCAACAGGGTGAGACTCTGTATTTAAAAAAAAAAAAAAAAAAAAAAAAATCTTCTCTTTGGCAGGGCATGGTGGCTCACGTCTGTAATCCCAGCACTCTGGAAGGCCAGGGTGGGCGGATCACTTGAGGTCAGGGGTTCAAGACCAGCCTGGCCAACATGGTGAAACCTCGTCTCTACTAAAAATACAAAAATTAGCCAGGTGTGGTGGTGCACTCCTATAATCCCAGCTACTCGGGAGGCTGAGGCAGAAGAACTGCTTGAACCCAGGAGGTGGTGGTTGCAGTGAGACGAGAGTGCACCACTGCACTCCAGCCTGGGGGACAGGAGCAAGACTGTCTCAAAATAAAAATAAAAATAAATTAGCTGGGTGTGGTGGCACACACTTGTAGTCCCAGCTACTTGGGAGGCTGAGGTGGGAGGACTGCTTGATCCTGGTAGGTGGAGACTGCAGTGAGCTGAGATGGCACCACAGAACTCCAGTCTGGGTGAAGAAGCAAGAGTCCATCTCAAAAAAAAAAAAAGAAAATCAGTCTATGTAATTCATTAAATTAAGAGATTAAAGAAGTATCACCATTTCAATAGATGTAGGAAAAAAATGAAAAAATGTATCACTCACTCATGATTTAAGAAAAAGAAACTCTGGCCGGGTAAGGTGGCTCACATTTGTAATCCTAGCACTTTGGGAAGCCAAGGTGGGCAGAAAATGTGAGGTCAGAAGGTCGAGACCAGCCTGGCCAACGTGGTGAAACCCTGTGTCCACTAAACATACAAAAATTAGCTGGGCATAGTGCTGCACACCCATAGTCCCAGTGACTTGGGTGGCTGAGGCAGGGGAATTGCTTGAACCTGAGAGGCAGAGGTTGTAGTGAGCCGAGATCGTGCCACTGCACTCTAGCCTGGGTGACAGAGCAAGACTCTATCCCCCCCGCAAAAAAAGAAAGAAAAAAAAAGAAAACAACAACAAAAAAACCCACACAGCTAACATCATACTTAACTGTGAAATAGTGAATATTTTTCCTTTAATACTGGGTAAGAGGCAAAGATGACTGCTCACACCCCTTCCACATTTGAAAGGAAAAGGCAAAGATGTCTTTATTCACAGGTGTCATGATTATGTATGCAAAAAATCCTAAAGAATCTTTTAAAAATCTACTAGATCTAATGCAAGAGATCTGAGCAAATTCAGCAATTAGTGAATCAATGTAAAACAAATGTATCACACTTCTATATATTAGTAGCAAACAATTAGGAAGTGATTTTTTTTTTTTTTGGTAGAGATGGAGTCTCCCTATGTTGCCCAGGCTGGTGTCAAACTCCTGGCCTCAAGTGATTCCCCTCGCCTAGGCTTCCAAAGTGCTAGGATTATAGGTGTGAGCCACCACACCCAGCCTAGAAAGTGAAATTTAAAATCCACTCTCATTTTTAATAACATCCAAAGCTATGAAATATTTAGCAGCAAATTCAGTGAAATACATACCACAGTGCTATTAAAAACTATAGCACATTGCTGAGAAAAATTAGAGAACACACAGAAATACATCCACAAATATACAACCAAATGATTTCTGACAAGGGCACTGATATAGTTTGGATGTTTGTCCCCTAAAAATTTCATGTTGATATGTGATCCCTAATATTGGAAGTTGGGCCTTCTGGGAAGTCATGGGGGTGGATTCCTCATGAGTGGCTTGGTGATGAGTGAGTTCTTACTCTGTAAGTTCATGTGAGAGCTGGCTATTTAACAGAGTGTGGCACCCTTCCCTCTCTCACCATGCGACACCTGCTCCCCCTTCACCTTCCTCCATGAGTGGAAGAAGCCTGAGGCCCTCATCAGATGCAGGTGCTGCACCATGCTTCTTGTACAGCCTGCAGAACTGTGAGCCAAATAAACTGCTTTTCTTTATAAATTACGCAGTCTCAGGTATTCCTTTATAGTAACCCAAAATGGACTAACAGAGGTGCCAAAGCAATTCACTGGTGGAAAGGTTTGACTTTTAACAGACAATACAAGGACAACCAGATATCCATATGTCAAAAGAATTGCTCCCCAATTCTTAACTAACATCATTTACAAAGAGTAATTCAAAATGTGTAACAGACTTAAATGTAAAATTTAAAAACTCTAAAACTACTGGCTAGGCGCGGTGTCTCACGCTTGTAATCCCAGCACTTTGGGAAGCCGAGGCGGGCAAATCACAAGGTTAGGAGTTCGAGACCAGTCTGGCCAATATGGTGAAACTCTATCTCTACTAAAAATACAAAAAATTAGCTGGGCAAGGTAGCAGGTGCCTGTAGTCCCAGCTATTCAGGAGGCTGTGGCAGGAGAATCACTTGAACCTGGGAGGCGTAGGTTGCAGTGAGCTGAGATCCTGCCACTGCACTCCACCCTGGGCAAGAGCGTGAGATTTCATCTCAAAAAACTGTAAAACTCCCAGAAGAAAAAATCTTTGCAACCTTGGGGCAGACAATGATTTCTTAGACTATTTAAAACATTAATTATAAAAGAAAAAAAAATCAAGAAGTTGGATTATCACCAAAATTTAAAATTGTTATTTGAAAAACACAATTCAGAAAATGAAAATTTGGTGGAAACTTTTCACACATACACACACACATATGAACAGACCTGTGTTCTGAATATATGAAGAATAATTACAACTGAGTAATAAGAAAATCTCATTTTAACAGATAAATTATTTGAGCAAACTAACAAAAGATATTCACATGCAGTCATGCATTAACTGTGGGAATATGTTCTGAGAAATGTGTCATTAGGTGATTTCATCATTGTGAGAACATCACAGAATGTACTTATACAAACCAAATGTTATAAGCCTACCACATACCTAGGGGCTATTGCTCCCAGGCTACAAACCTGTACAGCATGTTACATACTGAATACTGTAGGCAACTGCAACACAATGATGGTATTTGTGTATCTAAACATGTCTAAACACTGAAATGGTACAATAAAAATATGCTATTACAATCTTATGTGACTACTATCGTATCTGTGGTCCATCATTGACCAAAACACCTTTATGCAGTGTACAACTATATACTAATGGCCATTAAGCATATAAAAATATATTCAACAACATTATTCATCAGGGAAACAAAAATTAAAACCACAAAGAGGTATCAGCACACCCCCATTTGATCTTGCTTAACAATCAATCTGTCAATTCAAAGTGCTGGCAACAATGAGGAACAACTGGAACCTTCATACATTGGTTGTGGGAATATAAAATGGGTATAACCACTTCAGAAAAAATTGAGTTTATTGGAAACACACACAATCCAGCAATTGTATTCTTATTTACCCAACATAAATGAAAAATATGCCCAAAGACCTGTAAATGTTCTTGCTAGCTTTATGCAAAATAGCCAAAAATTAGAATATCTATTAACAGGTGAACAAACAAATTATAGTAATAATGTGCAATGGAACACCACTCAGCAAAAAGAAAACTACAAATCAAGTAATTAAAGAGTAAGGGGTGTCTTTATGGGGTGATGAAAAAGTTTTCAAACTAGAGAGAGCTGGTGATCTCACAACATTGTGAAAACAATAAATATCACTGAATTGTACACTTCAAAACAGTTGTTTGGGTTTGTTTAGTCAAAGTAAAAAAGAAAAAAAAAGGCTAATTGTATGTTATGTGAATTTCCCCTCAAAAACAAAAAAACTTTTGATAAAAGCAAGAGCAGGAATGAATTCTCAACTCATGATGATACACCAATATACATCCACGATAATAGCTTAAATGACAAAGACTGACAACACCAAAACTGGTGAGAATGTGAGTAACTAGAAGTCACATATTGCCAATGAAAGCATTAGACGGTATAACCATTTTGGAAAATGGTCTGGCAGTTTCTCATAAAACTAAACATGCTCCTACTTCGTGACCTAGCAATTCCACCACTAGGTATTTAAAGCTTTTGTGTGGGCAGAGATTTTCATCTGTTTGTGAGCAAATAGTGCAAGACACATAGTAGATACTCAGTATTTACCAAATGAACGTCTACTTGTTTTAGCATTGTAATAAAAAACTAGAAACAATCTAAGTATATTAATAAAAAGCTATACAGATAAAAATGTAGTATATTCATAAGACAGAATACTATATAAATAATTAAGGCTGGGCGCGGTGGCTCACGCCTGTAATCCCAGCACTTTGGGAGGCTGAGGTGGGTGGATCACCTAAATCCAGGACTTTGAGACCAGCCTGAATAATATGGTAAAACCCCCATCTCTACTAAAAATAAGAAAATTAGCTGGGTGTGGTGGCATGTGCTTGTAGTCCCAGCTACTCGGGAGACTGAGACAGGAGAATTGCTTGAACCCAGGAGGTGGAGGTTACAGTGAGCAGAGATGGCGCCACTGCACTCCAGCCTGGGTGACAGAGCGAGACTCCGTCTCAAAACAACAACAACAACAACAACAAAAACATTTAAAACAAATATGTTAGTGGCTAGAACTATCAATATCAATCCAAATCAATTTTTAAAATAATACGGAGTGAGGCCAGGCGTGGTGGCTCACACCCGTAATCCCATTACTGTGGAAGGCAGAGGCGGGCGGATCACGAGGTCAGGAGATCGAGACCATTCCGGCTGGCACGGTGAAACCGGTCTCTATTAAAAATACAAACAATTAGCCAGGCGTGGTGGCAGGAGCCTGTAGTCCCAGCTACTTGGGAGGCTGAGGCAGGAGAATGGCGTGAACCCGGAAGGCGGAGCTTGCAGTGAGCTGAGATCCGGCCACTGCACTCCAGCCTGGACGACAGAGCGAGGCTCCGTCTCAAAAAACCAAAATAAAATAATACTGAGTGAAAAACACAAGTGCAGGCTATATGCAATATGATGTAACTTATTTAAAATTTAAAAACACATGCAATAATAGACACATATAAAATATAATTTAAAAAATACAAAACAGATATCAACTCATGATGTTAAGTACCTGGTTATGGATGGGTGGGATGAGACTTCAACTTTATTGTAAATATTTTATTTCCTTATCTAAAAAAATACTAGAAATAAATACAACAAAATGTTAACAGTTGTTAATGTCGGCTGCTGTAAATATAGATATTGTGTTACTTTAGTCTATTTTTTATCTCAACTAAATTAACAAAGGAATTTAAAAACCCTAGTGTTATATGGAAGTGAGTCAATAATGGCAAAATAACAATAAGATACATAGAAGGTGACTAACTTTTAATGGTGAATACTGGATCCAAGCACAAGTTTGAAAATTTTGATTTCCAAAAAAAAACCCACATAAAACCTAAGGGATGAATGAAAAACAGACAAAATGGAACAGGGCAATAAGAATATTATTAAATAACAAAATCTACTTCGAACAAGAAAATCTTTCCAGTTACAGATATATTTAAAACTCTTTCACATATCCCATCTGTTGTTAAAGAATGTAAAAAGGATAAAATTTTAAAGGAAGCACAGTGAGTACTGAAAAAGCTAAAGTATAAAAGAAAAAATGTAAATATAGGATAACACAATTAAATCACAAAGTTTGGCAGTATAGTAGAACAAGACAGTATATTATCCATTTTATATCTAATATTTTGATATTCGGTCCTAGTTCCGTAACTGGTATAAACTTTGTTTTATATTTTTAATGATATTTATAATAAATATCATTATTTATTATATAATCCTACTTTTTCCACCAGTCTCATATTTGCAGTTTTTCCTCGTTGAACTGGCTGATCTCTGAGCACCCTTCTAACTCTAAAATTAAACTGGTAATTAGAACACTGCCTTCCACATAGCTGTTTCAATGACTAGAAAAACAATCATTTTGCACTATTAAATAGAGATTTCAAAGAATACTGGGTATGATAGGCACAGATAAATACTAAACGATTTAAAATTTTGGTCATATAAAAACACATACATACCATTCGGAGATGTTTACTCGGCCAGAAAATGTATAATTAACTCCTACTAAAGGTTGAGGCACCTGTGGCTATTCCATAAATACTGATGTGAAGATGATTAAAGTAATACCATCTTACAGTACGTCGCCTGAGTCAGAACCAAATAAATCAATACATAAATACTTTTGGGAAAAATAAATACCATGGAAAAATGTTATCTTCCCAACAATCTATTTTACAGAGACCCATAGTTTATAACAGCCTTTATGCTGTGTGCATCAAGATCATCTATTACACGAAAACTGATTCCACCCCCTCTACTGGCAACGCCCCAGCACCGCGGGTGAGTTGCCAGGATGGACTCCCGGCTTTCCCCTCTCCGTCTTCCTTACAGCATCAGGTATCTGACCACTGACATCACCTGGGCACCTGACCAGCTGACCCGCGTTTCCAGGAGCCAGATCTGTGCCGTGGGGCCGGGTTCAAGGCCTGGGGAACAGGATCTGTGCGCGGAGCCCCTCGTGGACCCGTGCATTCTGCAGTTCAACCCAAACCGCACATTTACTATGTTTTGTTTTTCTCCATCGGTTGCCAATTAGTTTCTAAAGAAGATATTCCCATTACAAAATAACAGCGAAATAAAAATAAGCACCAAGTGAAAAAGAGGTCAGCAGGGAGGCACCTGAGGGCTGTTTGGGTGATTGGCCGCCGCCTCGACTAGGAGCGACCTCCACCGCCGAGGGAAATCACGCAAATGAGCCCCGGACTGCCGCGCTCCTTCACTACAGCGAGCGTGGCCGGGAGGCGCCCTTCGGCCGCAGGGACCCAGTCACGCCAGAAACCGCTTCTTGCGGGTTTTGCCTGGTGGGAGGCCGGAAGAACCCCGAGCAGGGCCTCGCCTGGTAGAAGGCCGCAGGCAGCGGCCGGGGTCCCCGAGAGAACCAAGGAGGCCAGCAAGGACCCGAGAAGCCGCGCGCGCGCGCGAGTGGTCGGAGCCTCCCGCCGCGCCCCTGCCGCCCGGCGTCGCCATGGGAACCCAGGATTTGGCCTCCGGGCCTGACCGCCGCCTGAGGGGGAAGTGGGGGGGACGGGAGGCCGCAGACGCTTACCGGCGCCGCTCCTCCGCCGCCTCGTGTCGCGTTCGGCCGCGCGGAGATCCGTCCCGGCACGCGTTCCGGCCACCGCCCGCGAGCCCCGCGCCGACTCCGGGCCCTCCGGCAGCCAGTGCCCCTCCGCACCAGTGCGTGGAGGTGTCAGGCTCCCGCTGCGGGAGGCGGGAGATTTAAACCGCACGGCCTGGCGTCCGCCCCACTGGGGCGCCGGCCTGACCCCGCCACCGGCCCGACTGGGGACCGGCGCATCTCTCGGTCTGCTCTTGAATGAACTCGGGGACCCTCTCTATCCCTCCTTTCCCGATTTCCTCCTTACTTAATAAAGTGAGATGACAAACACCAAGCCGGTCAGAACATCCGAGGAGCTGAGTGTGAGCTCTCTGAGGCGTGGGGAAGTGGAAGGCATTGGCCCGGGGCCCTCCTGGCTCCCTCCGAGCACCCCCATCCCCGGACCTGCCGGGCCTTGTGGGGCGGCTCCTCAGCATCTAACTCCCGTGTTAAAGATTTAAAGAGGTCTTAACAACCGTTCATAACCAATCTCAAATGTATATATCCGTATCCATAATGTTTGTGATGAATCTTCAAGAGTAAAAGGTAAAACCGGATCCTGAAAGTCTCAGGAAAAAAACAAAAAGGAAGCAAAACTATTTACTACTAGTAGGAGATAATCAAACTGCATTCTTTTTAAAGGTGACTCCAAAACTTTCCTAAAACAGCAGCATATGAATTATTAATTACAACTGTGACACATAGGCTAGCAAAGAATGAAAAGGTTAACACTCGAGGTGGTAACTAAAGTCTGTATGATGACAAAGATAGGGTCAGGTTCTAGAATATTAACAGTACAAAATACTCAACCTAGGAAGTATACTTTTAAAATAGGAAAAGTGGCAAGTTATAGAGGGTTAATTTGGACTGAAAACATTAAATGTCTTTAGAGTTTTACCCTGAGATATTTGGATTTCCAAGGAATAGGCAAATACCTGAAATCATGTGCAAAATTTTGTTTTTTTGAGGAAAGAGTCTACAGCTTTCCTCAGAAGGGTAAAAATTAGCGTTTGGCAAACATGAGTGATTGACGTATTTCCTTGGGATGGCTTTCCTGAATCTTACTAAATGCGGCATTTCTCCTAAGGGGTATACCGCTCTCCGGCTGTAATCATCTACCTGCCTGTCTTCCCCATTCGGTGCTGAGCTGCTTCAAAGCTGCTGTGGTCCACCCTTACGCATTTCTGCAGCCTTAGCACCTAGCACAGTGCCTAATACAAACTAGGTCCTGAATGAATGTTGAGTCCATCAATGAATGAACTGAAATAAAGATAGCTAATTCAAAACTGAAGGATACATTATAAAATATCTGAAAAGACCAGATTATCTTTCTCACCAAGGAATAAATAACATTGCAAGTGAAATGACTTTCAAATGTTACTATGTCCCATAGTAAAGTTCTTGGGGTATTTTATAAAATGTTTGTTCCAACAAGATGAAGTTTTAAGTCAAGAGAACAGTAAACTAATATCTTCTTCAGCTCAATCTGAGGCCAACTGAAGTCCTCCAAAGACGACACCAGGAAGTCAGAATAGTGGCTACCGGCTGGGCCTGTTGCTTTTATTCACTTAACTGGGTAAAATTACAGAAAGATACACAGTATCTCCAAGCCATCAATGAAGTGTAGTATTTACATATAATCACTTTTTCTTCACAAGTCACTAAGGAAAGGTGGCACAGTGTAGGAATAGTATCAGAAAATAATGTAGAGCTAGCTGCTGATACTTCACCCGGACAGGAGTCAAGTCTCTCATATTTCATAAATGCCCGTGGAATGAATTAATCTTCCTTTAGCTGTTGGATAAAATGTTTACATGGCTTGCACTAGGATGAGTGTGGTAGTTCACGCCTATAATCCTAGCACTTTGGGAGACTGAGGCGAGCGGAGCACTTGTGGTCAGGAGTTTGAGAACAGCCTGGCCAACATGGTGAAACCCTGTTTCTACTAAAAATTCAAAAATTAGCCCCATGTAATGGCATGCACCTGTAATCCCAGCTGGGCGGCTGAGGCATGAGAATTGCTTGAACCCAGGAGGCGGAAGTTGTGAGCCGAGATTGCGCCACTACACTCCAGCCTGGGTGACAGAGTGAGACTCTTACTTGCACTAGTCCCTTAACAAAAGGAGGCAGCTCAGTCATTACATTTTAGTGTTGCATAAAACCTCTTTAGAAAGTGAAATAATTTAACACCTTTAACATACTTTTAAATTTCACTTAGAAGCACATTTATTGAACTGTTATTTAACTTTCTATCAATATATAATACATTTATACTAAGAAAAAAAAGGGTTTTCCTCCATGGTAGACTTTTACAAGCTAACTAGACAAGAACATTAGATGACTTGGAATGTGGGGCTCCACAAATGGGATCCAAACCTAGAGTCTTAGTTTCTTTAAAGACTAATAGTCTTCACTTTTATTTTTCTGCAAACCTCTGGTTAATCTCCCAAATAAAACCTCAGTTGACATTAGAAAACACTAAAAATTATTCTACTGTTTTGTACTGTTTTACTAAGGATTAGAGGTGTATTGAATCTGACATCATACAAAAAACTCTATTTCTTCAAGGCATTGCACCAGTTTCTTTGTAATCTGTTGAATTTTACCGAAGACGTCAGGACAAGCATTACAGGTCAGTGACAGTGGGGCTATGGAGAGCTATCTTCCCAGATACCTACACAATTACTTACTTAGATACTGCAAGCTAAACATGCTGTCTCTTCCTTACTACATTTCTGTTTATTCAAGTAAAGCTAGGCACAGTATTAGAATTAGACACAATTCTAGAATTAGACTTAAGATGATTTTAAATGTGAAATGTTATAGACATCGTTTTAAAAATTATTTCCTCCCCCTGAAACAACCATTGAACTTGATCTGGTATTATGTCTCAGGCACATTATTACACTTTCACTGACTATACACAGAATTGTTTGACATGTTTCTAAACTTTGTATCAGATTGTACCTAACCAGATAATTTCTCTGTAGTCTTTATTACTCAGATGTATGTCGCCCAGCTCCATTAATTGGATACATACCTTCACACTAGGTACTTAACCTGTCTGGATTGTGGTTTCCTTTAAATAACATGAATGATATAATTGGATAATTTCTAGAATTCGTTTTTGCTTATATACAATTCCTATTAGAATATACAGAAATTGATCTTTATACATTTATATACTATTACAATGATACATTTAGTGGTACACTAAAATTGAAATTAATTTTAAAGGCAAAAAAATGCAAAGCTGAACATATTATGGTAATTTAGTATCCATAAATGTCACTTAAATTTACGTATTACTTTTTTTTTTGAAATGGAGTTTCACTCTTGTTACCCAGGCTGGAGTGCAATGTGCCATCTTGGCTCACCACAACCTCCGCCTCCCAGGTTCAAGCAATTCTTCTGCCTCAGTCTCCCAAGTAGCTGGGATTACAGGTGTGAGTCATGGCGCCCGACCACATATAACCTGTTAGGTAAGTGAAGACACTTCCACACTCACTCTTTCCATTTATAAAAATGTCATTCTTGTGCATGACGTAAGATTGACAAAATATATACTAGTTAAGAGCTTGTCCAAAATAAGTCCAAGTTCAAATCCACTGCCATTTATTTTCTGCCTGTGTGTCTGCTCAAAAACTTTAACATGTATTTTTCTCTCCTATAAAATGTAAATAATTTATTATCTATAGAGGATTTTTATGATAGGACATAATTTCACTTACTTTTATAGACATTGCAAGAAAATAATTTATTTCCTTAAATCTGCAAATCAATGGAACTGCTATTAGAACAAAGATTAGGTTTAATTCTATAAAACCAACAAGCCAAAAATGTTTCTCTTCTAAGTTGTAAGATAAATTTGGTTCAGGTTGGATGCAGTAGCTCATGCCTGTAATCCTAGCATTTTGGGAAGTCAAGATGAGATGATTGCTTGAGGTCAGGAGTTGGAGTCCAGCCTGGGCAACATAGCAAGACCCCATCTTCCACAAAAACAAAAAAGATTAGCTGGGTGTGGTGGCATGCACTTGTACTCCCAGGTACATACTCAGGAAGCTGGGGCAGGAGGATCCCTTGAACCCAGGAGTTGAGCCTGGATGGGAGAGCTAGACTATGTCTCGTAAAAAGAGATATATTTGGTTCATATAACAAAATACCATTATTGTGTTTGATACTTGATCTATGATAGTCAAAAATGTCAACAACGGTCACTAATATGTTCCTGCTGTTTCTACACCTGGCAGTTTCTGGTTAGTAATATCTGGATTTCATTTGCCTAATGAAATCTGATTCTAAGTAGTGGCTTTTCAAATAAAAAATATACTAATTGAATATCCCTTGCATAGAGTCTTAAAATGTCCTATTTTTTCCTTTAAGAATAGGAGCCATAATAGTATCTATTAAAAATTAGTATTTTTGGCCAGGCACCGTGACTTGCCTATAATCCCAGCACTTAAGGAGGCTGAGGCACGAAGACTGCCTGAGGCCAAGAGTTCTTGACCAGCCTGGGCAACACAGCGAGACCATCTCCACAAAAAATTTAAAAATCAGTCAGATGTGGTGACATGCGCCTGTGGTCCTAGTTAGGAGGATGACGTGGGAAATCCCTTGAGTCCAGGAGTTTGAGGCTGCAGTGAGCTATAATCAGGCCACTGCACTCTAGCTTGGGCAACATAGTAAGACCCTATCTCTAAAAAATGAACAAAAATAAAAACTAGTATCTTTCAAAAAATTTAATATTTTCCTTATATTTGTTATATATAATAAACTGTTACCTTTTTTCAAAACTATGATACATCAAAAGAATTTTAGACTGTGTGAACAGATTTCAATGTTATTATCAGAAATTCCCAGATGGTTTTTTTTTTTTTTGCAGGGTGGGTTGTTCAATTATGTGCATTTTATATCAATTTAAACTTTTGTTTGTCC